AAGGTAAATATACAGCAATTCTTATTGGATTTCTTACCTTCAAACCACGCGCGTTGATGAACAGAGTGTGACACTGTTTCCAACTTCCTTACATTTAGGTATGTTTCTTTCGTTTATTGACAACATACAGCTTCACCATTGGCTCGTATTGATTCCCCGCTGAGCACAATGGAACTCACGAAGATATGAAGGAGGCGCTGACAAAACCCCATGCTTCTCGTTAAGGGGAGGCTCTTAGCAAAGTATTCGTAATTCCTGAATTTTACTGGGATGCGCACAAATTTTCAGTGGTTGTAAACCCGAGCTTAAAAAAGAAACGGGCATGACGTTTGCAAAGCCAGTGATTTCTTTCTATAAAGCTTTTGAACTATCTAGTCATACAACAATCATTCGCATAATTTTGTGATTTATGTAAAGCACTTTTAGAAATTTCGCGACAAAATGTAAAGGGATATAATGAAGAAGCTCTCCTACCTCTTGGCCTGTAACGTGAAGAAGTAGCACAGGTGAATGTACTGACACCTGAGTTCAAATAAACTGTAGAGTAACATTGTCTACATCATGTAAAATCATGGAAAAAATGAAAAACCTTTGTGGAACGATTCGTTGAAAAAAGTTATGATCCAATTCAAGAACAATTCGCAATGTGCGGTGTTCAAAGTTAACGATGTTTGATTTTTTCGCTCTTTCAAATCTGAAGTCGCTAAGCCTAATAAGAAAGTAAAGGCCGTTTCTCGGAAAAAATGTGTACTTTTCTACAGCTTGCAAAACGCTGCTTCGGAGCCCATCCCATCTGTTCATAGCGTACTAGTCTCAGCATTGCTTCGTCTTCATCACCAAATTATGTGGTGACTATATTATTTCAGTGCTTCTATCACATTGCCTGAAAATCCTACAATTCTATTACCAGCGAAATCAGCATTGCATGCCTTCCGAGACAATATAGATTAAATCCGGAAATTCTCTACCTCTCTTAGTAATACATTCCTTGTAGGTACGGTAGCAAATTGCCTTGCATTTGAAGTACACTATACACTACTTCTATAGCATGAAACATGCAATCATCCAATGTGTTGCATTGTCCAAAATATGTAGTTTTGTAAAAAAATTTCAAAAAGTCGTTTTGCGGATGAGAATATATGTACACAATTACTGTATATATTTTAAAAATCTGATTGTCTTGCGGTGCTTTGAGCCGTAAAGTACCAAAAAACGCAATGATTTGAATTCGATGAGAGGACGCTTGAGAGACGATAGCTTTGCCTGTTAGGCCAAAGACAGAGTTCACGCGGTTTGATCATCGCGATTCAATCGCTACAGACAAATGTTACGAGTTCATTGCATGCCGATTTTCTTGCATTTCGGTTGTTGTTGTTTTCCAACAACAAACAATGGTGACTAACTATCACAACCGAAATACAAGAAGATCGGCATGCAATGAACTCGTAACGTTTGTCTGTAGCAATTGAATCGCGACGATCAAATCGGGGGACTCTGTTTTGCTTTAGCCGTGTGGCTTCTAATAAGTAATGCATTCATTTTTTCAAATTACACAAGTTATGGCAGATAGGAATGAAGAGTATGAAACTTTTGCGTTTGCTAAAACTTCCGAAGTACGAATTCATTTCATAGAAAACCCTTCGAAAAGTCATGTGAGCATGCCTTCGATAGCCTAAAAATAGGGCATCAAAAGTGAAGATTTGAAATGTCTGCTCCCCAGAAAAAGTGAAGGTTGTACATAGAAAAACTGAGAAAGAGAAAATATGCAACACAGATAGCCAAAGCATTGACTTTTAGAAAGCGAATGAAAACGGCGCAGCGACTTTGGAATATTTTATGTGGCGGCATTTCGAATTGCAGGTATTCGCTCCAGCCTTAAACAACCCCAACAACCGACCAAGAAAAAGGCACTTTTTTCGGGTTTTCACAAAAAATCCGCCACAATCGAAGAAGTAAGCTCTGTGACGTTGTCTACATTATAGACAGACGCAAGATCTCAGGGCTCGGCACGAGCTGGCACCAGGGAAATTTCGAAACGAAGTCCCGTTTGATCTTGTAAATTTCGTACGAAGTCCCCTTTGACCAGTTTTGAAGACAAGTCATTATTTTTGGATTCTGTAAAAGTATGTAGTAGGGTTTTCATGCATGCTGATGTCATGGAACCACTTTTCACAATTTCTGAGCTTTTTATGCGGTTGAATCACATCTTGAGAAGCAGAAGCCGATTTCTCGATTGCGGAGCAGACTGAGTAATTTTGAAATTGCTATAAAACGCTGAAAAGAAAACATTATGAAAATGTTTTTTCTCTATATGTAAACTTTTACAGTATAGATACATTTTATGTAGAAAAGTATGAAAACTTATGTGAGCAAAGTGTCGGTGCCAGCTCAGCTGGCACCCAGCTGGCACGGTGCCAGCTAATTCAGAAAAAAGTTCGGCACAGCTTTCATTCACATAAGTTTTCATAAATTTTTGGGCTATGGTTCCGATCCACCAACGCGCATGCACACACCAAATTTGGTGTCATACTATTGCATTTTGGCTGAGAACGAGGCCTTTGTTTGGTGATGGACAGCATGCCCGTGGCATGCCGGCGGCATTCTTGCGGCACTTCTCCGCTGCGGACCCCCAAAAAACGATATCGCCTTTGCTTCCCGCTCTAAAAACGATATCCAGCTTGACCCGGTGCCAGCGGTGCCGAGCCCTGCAAGATCTATTAAATGCCTTTTGAAAAGAGTTGAACTGGAGGAAAAAACAAGGGATTTTCCAAAACACGATTTTTGTTAGATTCCTCGTTCAGTTGAAACATGGGGTTTTGCGACGTTATCAGCCTGAAAGTAGAGGTCAAGATCAATATGATATGCAGTTTGCTAGATTTGATTTAGAAATAACGAAGGGAAAGGTACTAGAGCCAAATGTCCCATGCTCCGTGTTTAGAGTAGCGAAGTAACGCGCAATGCGCGGAGCCGTTGGATCAAGCATTTGACTCTGGCGTGAATGTCTGCTGGGCCTCAACGAAACCTTGCAACATTATATATCATTGTGACCGCCATGACATGACTAGGAGCGCTGACAACGTCGCAAGTGTAAAAAAACACTACTTAACGAGATAAGCCAGCATTTTCGTGCGCTATCCTCTGCGCAAGATCTAAGCGCAGTCTCGTTTTTATGCAACACTAACAACTCTCATAAACTTCTAAAGTCAATCGTAATCTAAAAGAGGCCAAGCAAGACATGCTGTCCTGTCTGGAAACATTTTTCATAAAAGCTTCTTTTTTTTGCTTTTTTTTTTGCTCAAAGCTTTTTTCCTTTCTTTTCAGCGTAAGAAAAGCTATGAAAACACTTTCTTAGTTTTCCTGTGACATTCTCAAGATATTATTTCCTATACTTTCTTCACTCACATTCAATTCGAACTAGATATGATCATAACACTTGTAGCTCCGGCCAGGATGGCTTCTGTTTTTCCTTTCTGGTGAATGTTATGCTCTCCTAAGTCGCAGCTCAGCTGGTACGGAGCTGGAGCGGTTCCAGCTAATTCGGAAAAGTTTCAATCACAGCTTTCTTTCACCTTAGCTTATATAATCCTTTAAACCATAGTTTAAGTCCTCAAGCGCATGTGTACACTAAATTTGGTGTCATATCATTGCATATTTGTTGTAAACAAGGCTTTTATACATTTGAAGCAAAATTTTGAATTACCGCGCTGTTTCACGTAATGGTACATGTAAATTCCGCCCTGTCTTGAGTTAAAACTATCTAAGATATCTGAACGGCCAATCTCAAAAGTGGAATTTGGTTATGATATATGTTTTTGCGATTTGTTCCGGGGCTCTGCCTCAAACCGCTCAACAAATGGGAAAAGGCATTCACGCAACTGCCTTTCTTAGAATGTCACGATGAGGGAGATGCGGTAATCCAAAGCAAGGCGGTCAAGAGATATTTATTCTGCGTTACTCGAAAAACAGAAGAAAGCCGAAATGCAGGTAAGTCGAGCCTTTGAAGTTGCGCACAAATTCTGCTCTTTGTTGAGCCAGTTAAATATTCGATGCGGGCGAAGCGGGCATACCAGCTAGTTATTTGATAAAGCAAGGCAAGATTTACAAGATGGCGTTCACTCAAAAAGTTCGATTCGTGTGCAACGCCCAAAAATCAGGTCTCCATTAACACATTCACGACAATACGACCCACCGGTGGGTCGTAAGATTCCTAAAGCTCTAGTTTGCCAGTTTACGATGGAACTCCACAGGATTCTACCACATGATTGGGAACACCTAGGAGAAGCTCCAGCCAAAGTGGTCCAAGCTCGGGATACTGTATTGTCATCAAAAAATTAGTTTCGGACAATACGACCCACAGATGGGTCGTAAGTTTAAAAAAGCGAAAAAGGCTTCGGTCTGAGACGGCAGCAATCGAAAAATCGGCCCTATCGTGAATGTGTAAAAAACGGTCGCGAACCCTCGGTCAAGCATGTATCCAAACCAGGCCCATATTTTCCGATGACTAGCAAGCAAGAAAAAGAAATTTGGCATGTTCTTGCCAGAACAATCATGAGCTGTTTCCAAACAAGTATCTTCGTCAAAAAGCCGACTTTCACATTCTTTCGGCCTGTTTTTGTTTCCCTATTTCCAGAAAGCAAGTATAAGTAATTCTGTCAGATTTGGACAGCTTGCGTACTGCGTTGGAGCTCCGCAAAATTTTTTTTGAACTCAATCCTGATTATGAGCTTTGAACTCTTTCGATTTCGCTTCCGAACTTTGACAAGTCTCGTCTTATCCCGAATAAGAATCTCGAATTGCTTACATTTGTCTTTTGTTTTCGCGCCAAAGCATTAGTTGTGTATGTCTGTGTTGCCCACACCATAGATCTCTTATATTCGCGCGTCTTAGACATCTCATGCTCCATCTCGTATTTCAGAGGACCAGTTCGCAGTCTTTGCAACACCGTCTGGAACTCTTGCTCGCTGTCTGGCGGTAATCCAATTTTCAATCAACTCAACAAGATGTCATCCACACAAAACACACCAAAAAGGACAAGAACCCAAACAGTAAGTGTGCTCTATCGCAAAAATCACCTTCTAATGGAGGTGCCCAATTTTTTTTCTTTGCAGGACCCCACCACGAAAGCGGGAAGTTTGTAAGAAAGTCTCCTGTTCACGATATGATTCTGTAAATATCTCTGGACATTTATTGATGCTTCCAAGGCGATTGCTAACTTAGAAATTATCGAAGCTGAACCTAGTCGGATTGTCTGGTAAGGCTACCGTAATCCATCGTAATCCTCGCCAAGGATCAAAACTATTGTTATAGGGGAGACGGCCCTTCTGAACCCACCGTCCCCTACAGTAATCTAGAACTAGGACGCGCGCGCATGCGCTGCGATGACTGCGGACGAGTGCTCCGCGAAGGGCTCGTATTTTCGAAAATCACCAACTTCTTTCGTGCGGCTCTTGCATTATGGAATGCAAGCCAGTCACGCTGATTTCAACCACACAGCTACCATCCTCTGAATGTTTGGTATTCTGAGCCCTACTTCCCAGCAGGTATGTTTATGATTTATGCGACATCTTCGAAGTCTTTTCATTTTCATAATCCATAAAAACTCCTCATGGATCTCCTTTGAATTCTTTCGAACTTTGTTTTTTTGCTTTCTTTCTACTTATATCCCTTGTGTGTGCGATCCTTATAACGTCGTGCATCGTCACATCATATTGCTAATGTGAGCTGCTTGATGTTACTGAGGAAAGCCCACATAATCAAAGTTTGTGTAACAACTCTTTATGGCCAATTATAACTCAAATTGGTGATCTACGCTAATTCGTTATCAAATGCGTATTTCCTTCTGACATTTCAGTGCATCCCTGTAAGTTTCCAAGAAATTTATCATCTTAAATTTCTCATTCCTAGTAAAATTTACGAACGTGCATTTGAAATTTTTATGCTTTAAAAAGCATGATGCGTGTAGCAAAGAAAAGGTCGCTACCAAAATCAATCCATGTAGATCACGCTACCAAATGAAGGTGATGCATTTTTATTTGATTGCGTTTTTGATATGGACGGTGTAAAAAAACTTTATACTCATCACAAGAAAAACATATGCTTCCTTACTGGCATGCATGTAGTGCACATTTCAGTTGAATGTGACTAGATGATGCTGCAAGGAGGCAGACGTAGGAGAGTAAAGCATGCAATCGAACTCACAAAGACCTAGGAGAGTAGAGCATGCAATCGAAAAAAAAATAAGTTGAAAAAGACATCGAAAATTTCTCATAGGTCAAAAACGTAATACCTTAGAAAGTGCCCGGCGATTTAAGTAGTGTGGAGTAGAGCGAATAACTCAAGTTCTTGAATTCTAGGGAATTTGGGGAATTTAGGAGCTTTCTAGAGAATTACCTCCACAATCTTGTTGTGGAGTAGGTTACCAGCGATGTGAAACTCGTCCGCCTCCGCAGCGCGTCTGCCCAGGTCAGCCGCTCGCTCCCGCGAGCTAGCCAATCATTGAGTGACCTCTAATTAGCGCTGACCTCTTATAGCCGTCGCGATTGGGGCAGGTTCAGAAGGGCCTACACCCTTGTTATAGCTCTGGGGCTGACCTACTCACTGAAGAGAATGTGATCATCAGAAAAACGCCTTTGAAAGACCAAAAAGACACGGGTCTACCATAAAAATGGGACGACTCCTTCCACATCCTAATGTAAGTCCCGGAACAGCAAAAAAATTTTTTTTCGCTGATAATTTGCTCATTTACAGATTCTTTCTGTTCTTGATGCTTTTGAAGCCGGCGAGAGTCTTTATACCGTAACCGACATGATGGATGGAGATTAGTTGGCACTAGCTGATTTTCCCGGTCCAGCCCGGATCATGTCTGCTGGTCCCTGCTCCAGCCCCTCCCCACCTCCCCTCTCTCCCCCCCCCTTCCCACCTGGCCGTTATGCTGCGCTGCAAGGGTTTCCTTTATCAGAGTAACTCACCCGCTGCAGGCTCGTCTTGGATTACCGCATCCTTCCTACCGCAAAAACCGAATGAACTCTACTGCTATTGTTTACACTAAATCATGGAACTGACTTGTTAGCCACGTTGAGAACTCATTCTTATGCCAAAAATCAATAAATTAATAGAAGGACCCTGCGAATCGCCGCAAAAGTAGCCATAAACCACCTCCAGGGTCAAATGCATACGTGTGCAAAGTTTTAGCTCAATCGGTTCAATGACTGGCGTTTCTATAACGAACGAACAACTAAACGAACAACCTCACAGACATTGAGTTTTATATATATATAGTATACTTTGGACCGAATCGAATGATTATTCGATTATTCGAATAAATCATTCGAATGCGAATGATTCGAAAATTCGAATATTCGAAAATCTGAGATTTCGAGTAATATTCGACAGTCGAATATTCGAAGATTTTCATTTTTGAATATTATTCGAAAGTCGAATATTCGAGATTCTCAACTTTCGAATATTATTCGATAGTCGAATATTCGATGGTCATTAATTCGAACATTCGATGTCCATGGAATATTCGAATATTCGATGAGCACCGAATATTCGAAAATTCGAAAAGAATTGACTATTCGAAAATTTGAAGCATCGAATAATCGGAAATTCGATATCCACAACATATACAGGGTGTCCCAAGGGTATGTACAAACTGTTTTATCGCTAATACTTCTCATGAAGTCTTTTGCCAACCTTTAAGTAACATCCTGTAGGGATGGCTTCAGCTTACAAATACAGCAGAAAGCAAATCACCTATGTTTTTCTTATCACGGTATGAACTTAGCATATAGAGCAACTGCGGAATGAGACATCCAAAAGAGTTTCCCCAACAAGAAAAAGATTTCAAATCTATGTAGCAGGATTTTACGTATGTTTAACTACGCACTGCCTTTCAAGCCTTTCAAATGTGCATTCTCTTTTTTGAAATGCGTTGGAAAACATCTGTTATGGTGTACCTGGCATAAGTTGCAAAAGGCGTTACGGTTGAGTGCAAATTCTTTATATAGTGAGTGTCTTTAGAAGCCTAGTGTAAGATCGGCCTTTTTGTTTCTCATTCTTGGGCAAACGGCTCTTGATATCTCAAAACTTTCCTCAGTTTTCCTAACAACAGTGAAAAACGATCGATACATCGCTTCATACTGTAAGTCTATGTTGATGTCAGCCCACAGATTCACACGCTGTTGGGACCCCTGTATTCAGTCCACAACTCTCAATGAGGACAAATAATCTTCTTTGATTTTTGAAATTCCTACACAACCGTCACGTACGCTTTTAGGTTCTTAAAGGCAGCGTCCCAAAAGATGGGTCCGAGAATTTTTGGCGATGTTAAATTGGACCCCCTACCTAAGCGGTGACGAAATTCGGAGCGAAAAAGAGGGTCTGGTAAGCTTGAAAATTGCTCCCAAAGGGGCCCGTCTTACGGCAAGCCCGAATGCCGCCCGTACAGCGGACAAGGCCAGAGAACGCATAGCGCACACAGTCATGAGTGCAGGGTCCCGCAGCGACTCTGCGTCTCTACCCTGCATGCATCTCGTACTCACGAGCCTACCGTAAGATCCGGGCCACTTATGGGGCAAATTTTAGGCCTGGTAGCCCCCTTTTTCGCTCCGAACATCAGTCATCGCTTAGGTGGGGAGGGGGGACTACTTTAACATCGCCACAATCCGGCACCCATCTTCTTGCCGGGGCTGCAACTTATCAGGATGTAGCCTATGTCTAATCGTATACTGAATAGCCTATGTGTAATCGTATAGCTAGATGAACCACCTCTTTATATATGTATAATAAGTATTTATAATCTCCTTCTATTCAACCTTGTAATACCGCTACACGCTCAGGTAAGACAAGGCCAGTCTTATCCTGACAAACTGAACCGTTTTTTTCGTTATAAATTGAAACATAAAAATGTCTATACCTGAAAAAATTTATTCTGAGATGTTTTGGTCTCTCACAGGTAGTCTCACCGACATAATTTATTCGCAGAGTATTCGGAAATCGAATGATATTCGAAAATCGAATATTATTCGAGAACCGAATAATATTTGAAATCCGAATATCGAATGGTATTCGATATTCGAATTTCGATTCGAAAACTTCCATTTTCGAATAATATTCGATAGTCGAATATTCGAAAATTTCGATTTTCGAATAAAATTCGATAGTCGAATATTCGAAGTTTTCAGTTTTCGAATAATATTCGATAGTCGAATATTCGAGAATTTCGATTTTCGAATATTATTCGATATTCGAATATTCGAAAAAAATTTCGAATTTCCCAAAGTATAATATATAGATTGTCGATAAGAATCTTAATCATTTTGTCTTAGCGAAAATTGTCTATCAGCTCTAATCGGCTTTAGAACCATTGCATTCAAAAGGATTCCATCATGGAGTAGGTGATTTTTTCTTGAAAATTTTCTAAAAAATGCAATCCAGTGAGGGTTTCTTTCAGAACATCACATTGAACTCTGTTTTTATTAACACGGATGCGGTGCTGAAATTGTCTTCCTACGGTGATGTAGCTCAAAATGCTAGTGAGGAAAAGTTTAGAGGTGAGTGCTAGTTCTAATACCTCAAAAACTATATTAGTGATGATGATAATTGAGTATATGAGGTAGGAAAAGCCATCTAAGCTTATTGGTGCGTCCAGACTTGCATGCGCCAGCGTTGCGCTAACGCCGTGTGCGATGATGGCACGTCGTTCCAGCGCCGTGCCAGCATTGCTCAATCGCTGTGCTAATGCCGCGCCAACTGTGCCCGTGAAGGTCTGTCAATCCTTAAGCGGTGTGTCCGCATGGGTTCACAGCGCTAGTACGGCGCTGAAACGGCATTGGAACAGGGCTGAACGGCTTTGGAGCAGCACTGGCACGGTGCTGTCACAATGCTGCTACGCGCAACTCTGGAGCAGCCATAAATATGTATTTACCGTAACCTAAGATTTCTATTATGCATCGGCATCTTTTTTTAGCTATCCTTTTTTTGTATTGGTCCATGATTTTAGTAATATGGTTTTTTCTTTAGAAGACATCACCTCTGTCGGATCGATACTTGCACGTTTACTACTTGAAGAAGGGTCTTTCTTGAAGCTATTAAAAATCAAAAGTCATAATGAGCTGGAATGGCGAACGATCATGCAGGGCAATGTCGAATCGGGTCTTGTTGGTAAGTTGATTAGCTACCTCGCAAAGAAGATACAATTTTTCAGTAAAATTCAAAATGAGTAACTCTTGATAATTTTTACAGATTTCCATGCTCGCAACATGCTTTATCTCCTTCTCGGCTCTTCATGCTCTCTATCGGATCTCCTTCGGCATCCTTATATGCTCACATTCCGCAAAAATGCGGTAAAGTGCCGCTTATCGAAGCAGAGCATAAGGATCTCTCAGCACTCAGTCTCAACGACGTTCACGGTAAATATTTTCGAAAAATCCTCGTTATCCTTTTCCCAAATGTATAATGATTTTTTAAGATTGTTGCGAGATGAGCTCAATCGATATGAGTCACCGATCTCTATTCAAGATGTGCAGTGACATGTCTTCGTAATTATTTGATTCCGAAAAATTCGTTTTTGGGAGGCACCTATCTTTACGGGTAAAAAATACATTTAGATGTAAAATTTCTGTTCTCGTTGTTTGCTCTGTAAGTATTCGTTTTCTCTTGTTTTTGTGATTTTTTCATTGTAATGGCGTAATAAACTGTGTTTTATTTCATTTGTAATTTGCGTTGTCGTGGAAACATTTCATAAGAGGAAATGCTATAAGTTGGAACCAAATTATTTATGGCGCGATACAGACAAGTTTTTTGAGAGCTGGGGCGAAGTATAAAACGTTTGTTTTCTGCAGTAGAAGTCTCTCCTCGAAAGTTTGTTGCCAAACCTTGAAAATCAGTGTTCGTGCTTGAACGGGAGGCTTCATCTTGTGAGATATTGTTTGTTGAACATTCCTGAGCGTTGATGAAGCAAAATTAATAATTTTTAAACGAGAGTGGACCAATATTCTGAATGTTTTTCAAGTTACATGACCATCACAGTTCTGATGGGTCCAAATTAGAAAAAAATTCTCGAAGTTCTTAGAAGCGCAGTCTTTTCTATACATCCTGGGGCAATGTAATGGGTCCACATGAAGTGTTACGGCTCGGTTAGCCCAGCACTCCTATCCGTGCGCTCGACTGCCCTGCTCCGCTAACCCTACACCCTAGGATAATCGTCCGACACCGACGTGCGCTTCGGCGCGTCCAATCGACGCTGGCACCCCAACAATAGAATTTATATACCAAACCACGAAAATATAATATACACAACAACAAAAAAACTACCAAACTACAAGATCCGTAGATGACCGAAATGATAACATGGGAAGAGTAGCAAGCCGCCGATGCACTACAAGCTTAATCAACATAAAAACGTCTAGGTTCTTTCTACAGGGTCTGCCGCTATAAGCCCTGGCCCAAATGGGACGGCGCGACCGCAGCTCCGCTCCCGCATCCTTGCTCATTCACTAATACAATGAACCTTGCCTTCTCGCGTTCCGTCATGCAAAACATCTCTAAACTCGGCCGCTCGACGTAAAATCCTTCTATGCAGGAGCTGCTAAAAGGGCCAATATAAGAGAGCAATCAGTAACGAAACAAGGTTAAAGAGGCGACGACTGCTCCCCGCGCAGCCTTATAAACCTCTCCGCTTGGCCGCCTTCCCAGCCAAATTGGTCTTGCGGCAGTACAAAAGACACGTTGGTAAACGCGGCATACAGCGCTCCGGGCAACTGTTTCAAAGAGGTGCTCTGCAAAGCCGCGACATTAGGGCCCTTCTGGAGTTCGCAAATCTTTCGACTCTTCGACTAGTTAAAAAAAATAACAGAAGTTTGAAACAGCAAGTCACAATCTTTATTGTTGTTCGCTATTTAGAGAAGACCTGTCTGTATACAAATTATTCGTCTGTTGGCACTTCGACATATCACATAGAGGTCTAAATCATACTTCTAACCTATTCAAGGCATCATCACTCAAAACTGTGCAGTAAGACAATCAACCATAAATTACTTGATTAGAACTTTGGCCTTAAAAATAGATGCGGAAATTGTATAACAGGTTTGCCGAGTAGTTTTGCCGCTTTTAGAGTGTTAATAAGATGTTCGCCATTTTCAAACGGTTTGTCACCGGAAAAGGGGAATGTAAAGTAAAAGGTACATTCATTGTACATCCAGGAGTATTTTTGCTGTTCTTATGATCCCTTTTTCCCATGAGTACCTCCTGCGAAAGGAAAAAAAATGGAAGAAGAGCTTTCAGTGGGACACAAGATGCTAAACAAGTCTTGAAGGGAAGGATTTGAACAGAAGAAATCGCCCACGCTAATTTCCTGTCAGCGAACTCTACATTGTACTTTTCTATTGATCTACAATTTTCAAAGTAATCAACAAGGATGGAAGTTTCCAATTTATTAGTGATGCCACACCTTCTGTAAGTTTCGAAAAGGAATACTACGCCAAGTTAGTTCAGATATCACCTGATATACGGGATAGACGGGTTCAGGAAAGATTTCATGGATTTGTTTTTGACTTCTTTCCATTTAATCAAATTTAAAAACCCTAAGACCATGAAATTTATATTTGTTCGAGTTTCTTTTTTGAATTTGGTATTAGCAAAGAGACAGCAAAGAGTACTTGCACTGTGAACTGCGCATCAACTCAATAGCCCGCAGTAAACCCTCTTTAGTTTCACTCGGCTGGAACTCGGGCCTAACTAATTGTAAGTCAAGGATCGCGTTTAGACGTGAAGATTGCGTTCTCAAAAAGAAAGTGCAGACAATAAGCCGGACGGTTAAGTGATAAGGACTTAAGGGCAAAGTCATGCATGGTTCGAGGATGGCTAGTGGACAGTTCTTGCGGCACATTGGACAATCTTTGATGCACTGTCTAAATTGATGATGACCGCTACCAAGGATATCGACTAGCAAATAAATGAAAGAACAAAACTAGGATATTTTGACGAAGATTTTGTCGAAAGTTGAAGTTGTTAGAAAATAAACAGCATGAGTCGGTTTCGCTCTTCTACTGAGTGTAGGTATCCTTTTGTAATTGACAGTTGATCCAACTGTTTACAAATCGCTACTTACGACTGATGTGACCAAGAAACACGTGATTAGACAGGAATGTTTATCGCAGAATGACTAGGCAAAATAAAGAACAAAGTTGGAGTTGAGTTTCTAAAGAGAGAGAGAGAGAACACAACACCTTATTTAGTGCGTGTTCCAGTTAAGACTGATTATTCTAGGCTCAAATTGTAGGCCTGGACCACCTTAGCTAGGGCTCCGCGCCTCTCACTGTCTCAGACTCCGATCTCTCATCGGCGTCTGTCCCCTGGGTATATTGGGCCGCACCCATCACTGGATCCAAATCGATCCCTAGCGAGCCTTGGGGCCACGCCCATCTCACCGTCGGAAACTACGGATCTCTCACCGGCGTGTGTCCGCGGGATATGCCAACCATGCTTCAATAATTAGCATCGGTTATTGATTGCCAATAACTTGTGATGGGAAGAAAACTATCAAAAGAAGCACTAATGTACAACACATGAAATAAATCAATAGATTCTTGTTTGATGCAAACCTAAGCGAACTCTACAAAAAAGAAAAAACTTGTTTCCTTTTTTTCGGCGTAATCAGCTGTTAATCGATCTTCGCCTACTTGGACCCCAAAATTGTGGTTTTGCAGTTCTGTAGGTTTTGCACCGCAACAAGACGTCAAAATAAGTTGTCCCATAAGTTACTCACGACCAACTTACGGGAATTTTGCCCGATTCTCCTCTTTTGCACACTATCCCCCTCGGTTCACCATAAGATCTACTTTCATTGTAGTGGCATTCTGTTGAACTAACCATAACACTTAAGCGGAAGTATTCTGATTGTTCAATGAACATCCTAAATCACATGAAGGTCTTAGGTTTGACCTAAGACTTTCTAAATGGCATCCCAGGTCAATTGAAATGAATGGGGTCCACTTCATATTACCTAATTCGCTTTTGCACTTTGTTTTTCACTTTTTGGGTGTGTAATTGTCAAAATGTAACGAATATAGCAACAGAAGCAGAAGTTCTAGACGAAACTTCTATTTCGGTCACACAACTTCAGACGCAGAGTCCCACCTCAGCTTCACAGGTGGTTCCAGAGCCACACTCAGTGCAGCTGCGGCCAGGTTGATACACACCCTTACCAACGATATTTCCTCTGTAATCAGAATCGATTATTGAAAGACTAGCCTATACCACATACCTTGGTGAATAATTGCAAACACACACGTACGATGATTGACAATCAACAACAGAACATCCCAGATACTTTGTGGTTGCCCATGCCATCTAAGCAAACTGTTGAAAAGAGAGACATTCTGATTTGACTTTCGTTTCATCTCGTACTTTTTAATGCCCCTTGTAGTGTTGTATGTGGTCTAAGTTTCAGAAGCTATGAAATCTACGAATGCATGGAAAGCTGTGTGTTTTTGATGCGACTTGAAAAATCTCTTTGTCATTTCGCTGTGAGTTTCGATTAGTTCATTGAATGCACACAAGTCATCCATGCTAATTCCTTGAAAGGCATAGGCTGTTCATTTTCAACTTTATATTTCCTATGAGTCACCTTTCAAGCATTTCTAATGCCCAAAGGATACCTGAGTAAACGACTTCATAGGAGTATGAAGATAGCTCTTCTGGAAAAATACGGACGGGCCAAGATGTGTTGTTTCACCTGCCTTCCACCATGATTCTACTGACTGAAAAAAAAACAGAAAAATCACATTTTCATGCACCTGACGTACCGTGACAACAGCATCAACTAAGCTTGCATTCTCAACTTTCATCACTCTGTAATAGTTTCCACCAAGGTGCACTTTCCCAGGCTTTTGTAGCCTCGTTAAGGGACAACGTTTTGCGTAATTTACTGCCAGCTTTTCCAGACCGCAATCATACACCTGGAGTGAATTTGCAGTTTATATGAGCATAACAAAGCACGTACCAATTTCAACATATTCTTGGCCTGTGGTAAATTTTCTCCATTTCTTCTCAATTTTCCCAATGATAGTACCAACCTAAAATTTTATTATAGTGGGTACGAAAACATCTCACCTTGAGGTACTATAGAATGTATCTGACCTTCGGTAATTATGCATATCCAAAAACAACAGTCTAAGAGTATCCGTCATGCCCTTGTTGTTGGGACAGATCTGGGAATCTAAAGTTTACAGCCAGTGACGCTATTATGCAACTCTCATGTATTGAGTGATTACATAGTTTCTATGCCTTTCCAAGTCAGAAAGATCCGCATTGAATGATATAGAAACATAGAGGGTCAGACTTCGTCTTTTTCTACGTATGTATTAGGGTGATCCGAAGTAATGGGGCACCTTGATTTTGGACATTTTTCATGGATTCTGTGACTGTGAACAACCAGCAGTTTAGACGCCCTTGTATAAAGTGACCTTCGCAGGACATCCTGACAGCACCTTGCAGCACACCTCACCACAACCCTTCGAGCGGCGCTCCAAAGAAGGCAAACAGGTTTTTTCGAATACCATCAGAATCTGCGCTGCTATGGTTGTAACGAACGGAATTTTTACCGAATGAACAAATAAGGAATGATTGATTTTTTTTTTAAATTTTCGAATGAACGAATATTATTCGATTTCCGATTTTCATATTATTCTATTCGAATCTTCAAGTATGGGCACATTCCAAAATTCGAACTTTCGAATATTCAAATAAAAATTTGATCGAACATTCGACTATTCGAATAAACAAATAACGAATACCATTGAATATTCGAAAATAATGTTCGAGTATTCCAATATTTGAGCGCTGTTATCCAAAACTTCTCGAATATTCGAATACTCGAATAACTGTCTTTTGAAATTCCTCGAATATGAGTCATTTTTCGAGTTGTCAAATGAACGAATTATTCAAATAAAGGCCTTTTTTATCAATTCGACTACTCGATTAATGGAATAATTGAACTTTTTCAGAAATTCGGCTATTTGATAATAGTCGAATACTTCGAATAGATTATTCGAATACGAACATTCGGTTTCTACTATATGCCGTACCGCAAAGTCCCTAGACATATGATGTATCAATCAGCACAGCTTTCCAAGCTTTTTCTAATGATTACTTGAATGTGCAGGGTTGTGTAAAAAGTTCGTTCGCATTTTTTGTCCTATTTTTTCTCAATACTTTGCAAAGCATTTGACAAAATGTTAATACGCGTTTGGATGCTTTAATTCTGCTCTACCAAACTTCTGCTATTATATTTCCAAGTCTTAAAAGTTGAACAAAAAATTCGACTACAAACCGAAAAATCTGAGAAGGCAAGAGCTTCATTTTCGACATCTTTTTTCTTTCTTTGTTTACCCTTATTCATTGTTATTTATTCATTAAGGTCCATAACATTTAAACGGCTCAATCGCTTATGCATTTCCTGAAACTGTTTATGATTGCCCACTTCCTTTCACCGACCGTTTGATGCCATCTTTGCAAAATTCGGCATAGCACGCCTTTGCCGTAGCGGTGTTCGTCGTCTCGCGTACTTGAGTTGTGTGTCCCCCAAACTCTGAATTTTTGAATATGTACCCCAAATAATTGATGATTTGGCGCTCATAGACCACATAGTCTGCCAATCTCTGGAATTTCGGCTACAACCCAGGGCCCGGCACGAGATATTCAAATGACAGGCTTAGAGTTTTTTTGGTGAAAAAAGCGAAGAGGATATCGTTTTTGCGGGGTTCGGGGCGGAGCCACGGAGAAAATGGTAGTCCGTGCTCTCTGCTTATTTTAACATGTTATGTGCCTCAATAGGGGAACACTGCAGTTCGCGTCAGACCGCATCGTCGCTGATTGCCGCACGCGCGACGTCGCTTAACCGATGTTATTTATAGCAGCATACATGACTAGTTCTCAATGTATGCGTAACGATATGGCACCAAATTTCGTATGCGAACGAAGAGAAGCTAGTGGAAACAAAAATGAAAAATCAAAAAACAATGAAAAATCATATAAAACTTATGTGAACGAAAGGGGTAATAAGCATTTTTTCCGAAAATTTTGCACATTGGATAAGTGAAGAATTCAAATGGCTCGTTTGCAATGCACACTGACGATATGGTATGGAACTTGGTAAATACATGAAGACGGGCCTGCAGGGGTTGACCGAAAAGTTTCATTGAAAAATTATGTGAATGAAGGTTGTGGCAAGCCTTTTTCTGAAAATTTCCCGCTAATAAAAAATAGAAAAATGGCTCGTTTGCAATGCAGAAATGACGAAATCGCGCGAAATTTGGTGTGTATACGCGCAGTAGGACTAAGGAACAAAGTATGAAATATTATGATAAACTTATATAAATGGATAGCGTGCCCAACTTTTTACCAAATTAGGTGGGCACCTGCCCACCTCTGCCCCCCTCCAATTCACATAAGTTTTCCAAAAACTTTACAAAAAGAGAGAGAGATTCTAGAGACTAGAGACTTGTCTATGTCAATTTCAATACAGAAGGGAGACTTCGTAGCGACTTGCTAGAACACATGAGGTAGATGTGAACAAAAATAGCGATGAGAGAATGGACGAGCGCACGAAGGCCCTCTATCCGGATACATGGAGCAGAACAGCGCTTCAGTCCTCAACCCGGCTTCAAGTTCGCAGCTTTTCTCATCACTAGGAGAAGCGGGGTAGAAGAAAGAACGAAGAAGCAACGATATGGAAAAACGAAAGAGGCTGAGAGCGCCCCAAAATCATCAAAAGCAAGAGACAAGTCCCAATTCATGCAATTTCAGAATCGCTTCTACTCCCTAACTTGTAGCAGATGGCTATGGAAACTAGCAGCCGCTTCCTGGAGAAAATGAAGTTGTCTTGAGCAGAAATCACGAGCAAAAATCAAAATCAAAATCAAGAGAGAATGGACGAACTCAAGAACCACTCATTTTGTCGCATACGCAAAGCAGAAATGCGCTCATTCTTCTACCCCGCTTCGAATTTCGAAGTTTGGCTGATCAAAAAGGAAGCGTGATGGAGGAATAAGGCCAAAATGAGAGAAATTCGAAAGAAAAACCGTTGAGAACGGTCAAAATTCTCCAGCTCCCGCCGTTCAAAACGGTATGGGGCGGCTGCAGCACATGCAGCTCAGTTCTGGGACTGTTCCCGCACAGTTCCCGCACAGTTCCAGCACAGTGCGAGAACTGTGCGCGAACAGTTCCAGAACATAAGAATCAGTATGAACCAGGGTCAAGCGTGTTGATGCGATCCGGGACTCTCACTTACGACCCCTCCCCCTCCCCCATCTACCTCCCTACCTCCCCTGCCCACATTTCTCGCGGTAACCTGCATAAACGAATGTCAATCTCAAAAAACACCTGCGTGAGAACTTTAGTAAGTTTTCGGAAGCAGAGTTTCTAGGCCAATGGGTGCTCGCAGCATCTGTAGCACACATACACATCTTCAATAATGTTTGAGATTCTGCAAGTTTTTTTTTTGAATTTTCAGGCATACTTCAGGCCAGCAAATTCGGTTCCCGTATGCGACACAAATTTTTGCACCGAGAAAAAAAAATGACATTCACTACAAAAAATGTTTTCTACTAAGAAGCTTACTTTCTACCTCTTGCACAATTTTTTCTGCGAAAAAAACCCTTTAGCGCCGTCCAGAACAATGTCAAAAACGTGCATGAGCACCGTAGTTTGAAAATTCGTAACTAAGGCCTGGAAAAGATTGAGAGGCTGCAAAGAATAAATTCTGTAGCATTGTGCCCAGACTATTCATAGAAAAAGTTTCAGCCCTTGAGAAGCCGTGAGCTCGAAAAAAATTAAATGCGACTTTCGCAAGTTTGAATGCGATCCTAAAAATCAAAAACTGGGATTTTTGCTTGAAATTTTGTAACTCATCGGAGAGGAAATGAAATGGCCTGAAATTTTTAGGATAGAAAGTAGGAGGATGACCTCGCATTACAGCAAAATTACAGCCAACAAACTTCAATAGCTCCGAAAAATTCAGATGCGACCCAGATACGACCCCCCCTTTTCGCAATTTTTGCCACCATACATAAAATCATAAGAAAATTCGAAGGCTATAGAGTGAGACCAAATTTTGCACAAATGTAGTCTAGCACCTCTGAAGTACACATAAATTGTAAGGACCGTATAAAAAACATTAGAAACAGATTTACAAACTATTGATGATTAGCGTTGATAGAGGTATGCGCTTTTGTCGAGTGTGTGAGTCTTCAGTGAGCCTTCGGAAGCAGGACGTCTACACCATTCGGGACATCCAACATCTTTATCACATAGTCATGCCTTTAGTAGCCTTTGAGCTTCTAAAAGTGTTTATTTTTTAATTTTAGTCATGCCAGCATGGTTCGATCCCCGTTTGCAACAATTGCGGGAGAAATAGTGTTTCCCATAAAAAAATGAACTATGTCATAATCTTTCAAAAATGCAGCGAATGAAGCGAATTTCTACGTTGCAAATGTTTTCAAATTATTGTTTACTCGTTTTTACTTAACACATTGGCACTCGGCATTCCATGAATTTATTGTTAAGAACGTGTAATAATTATACGCCATTCGATTTCCTTCTATGCTTTCGGTTTTTTATCCAAACTACCTCCTTTTACGACTCCCCCCCCCCATTGTTACCCCGCCTACGACCCCCTGTTGCGAGAGCCGCATCACACGCTTGACCCTGGCATGAGCCCAGCCCTAGGATTCGAAATAGTAACGACGCCGAGGCTCAAAGAAAGAAGGCTCCATTTAAACAACCTATGCTGCTGGCAGGATCAAGTGGGAAATCGGAAAAATCGACAGAAACAAAAGCGTTTTTGTTTCACCGATGTTCATTTGCCACCCTCGTGCTGGACCCTGCTACCACCTTGCATCAAAGGTGCCTTCAGATGCTTGACGTTGACGCCGAAGAGAAATCAAAAAGATATCTATCTTTGAGCTTGCAATTGAATTTTTTATGAATTTGGTACCTGTGTAATCTGCGAATACAGTATCCTATTCATACACGTCTCCAAATTTCAAGCTGTTCGTAAGCGTTCAAACCCATCCGACACACAGCGTAACACGGTTGTCGAAAATGGGATTTTCCTCTCTCAAAGTTTACGATTTATAGTCGAATTATTTATCCAACGTCTCAAGGACTGGATATAGTGATGTATCTCGGTAGAGCAGACTTAGAGCTTCCGAATGCATA